ATTCAAAGCACTGGGCCACCCCCCATAAGCAGTAGTGATCAATTTTACGATTACAAAAAAAATTAAACGGTGAATGATTTTGCTGCCGATGTATTATCCAGCCAACCCCAGTTCCCTTCATTATTTGTTCATTGCCTGGAGGTAATGTAACATCACATCATAATATCAGGAAGACATACACAACTGAAGCAGATTACAGAGGTTACGAGATCAATTCAATCTTGTGCTTCAGGCAAGTGTCATGTGCCGTTACATGAACTTTTTGATCTATGCATCAAAAAGCAGGTTTCCTAAAGTCACACAAGGCGATCTTCAAACCAGATAACAGTGCGAATTATGAACTAAGCGCACAGCTTTTAGAAATCATAAAATTCGCAACGGAGTCTTAAATTATCAAAATTTCAATTTTTACATTACAGCTTCTGCCAATGGCCCTGACATCTTATAATTCATGAACCATAATGAAAATGTGAGTATTTGTTCATTTGAAAACATTAAGCAATCATTCTTGCACTGACCATCAATATAAGCAGCTGCAGGAGCAGTGCCACTGACAGATGAAGCCCTTTTAATTCAGTCATTTTAGAAACCTTGTAAATTTGAACCACAGCCTCGTATTTAGTTGCAAATCAAACCTTTTTTTGGGGGGGGGAAAAAAAAACAGAAATCCTCAGTGTTTACATCTTCATGCCCAAGGCATTATCCTGGATCTTGACCTCATTCTCAATAAACACAATGACATTCTTGGGTTTAAGCGCTCTGGAAAGCTACCATGTGTGAGAAGTACTACATAAAGCCAAGTTGTTGTGTTATGGGAGGAAACGGGAAAAAAGAACATTAAAATGTCTATAAAATAAACTCCGACTGGCTAGTGTTTTGGAACAAAGGCAGCTTTTTCACTCCCTCTCACCCTACCCCTCTCCCCGGGAATTCAGTAATAGTATTAATATTAACAATAATCTTTGTATCAAAAGAATGAAGGATGTGCTCCTTGATGAGATTAATGAAACTAAGCCAAGTGCAGGGATCAGAATTGCGACACACAATGACACAGACTCTCCTTTCAGTGGTCTTGAAGATATGATAAAGCGCTGTATCAAATGCAAAGATTATTATTATTTAGAAGAGGTTTGAGGTTCAAAATAAAATGAGTTTGCAGCAAAAGAATACCTTGACATTTTATTTTTTTTTACATATACTTTTCAGATATGCTATTCAAACACATTGATCTGTCCCCAAATGGGTCTGATTTTAAACCTACGAGTTAGATACAGTAGTTCGATACTATAGGTTATCTTGGAAAACCCAATTATAGACAAGTAAGTCCTTACTCAACTGAGAAGTGCAAAGGGTATGCTTTTACTGAACACCGGTTTGATGCAACATAAACATTTCTAGTTTCAGTTGATAACAAAAAGGTTATCAAACATTTCTGCCTATTAAAGGCCATCACCAAGCTAATAATGTTCTCTAACTTCCCTCACAGGAATGCTCAGTAGCAATACAAGTGTTTTCACTAAGGTCTTGAGGTCAAATTTGTAGGTGTTTGTAAAAGAAAAAATTCTCAGATATTGAATCCCACAAGTACCCAAACTATCTTGAAAATCTCCGGGATCCCAATCAGATTTCCCTCAAAGTCACAATGAAAGTGGTATCCGAGTGGAATACTGGTAGGACACGACCAGGTATGTAAAAGATTCAATATGTATCAAACCCGGCAAAATCAGACCCTACTGTGGCCTGACACCCAAGTCAATTTAAAAAAAAATACACCAAATAATAAAGAGAAATAATATAAAGAAATGAATAACGTTTCCACCATCTTGAGTTAGCTTTCATAAATTGAACGTTTCCATACTCGACTTGGTTCTTAATCCGTGCGGTTTACTCATTTCCATACAATCAAGCTCGTGCTCATTTGGATCCTCGGGAATTGGCTGAAATTTTGTGAACGACACGTAAGTGGTGGTAATCCGCTTTTGGGGGACACCAAATAAGGATTCTTCATCTTCACATACCTCTGGCTGTGGCGAGGGTTCATTGCTTACGGAGATATCGCACAGATTTGTGTCGTAGGCATTGAAGAGCCTTTTATGAGATATTTTATGCATCACAAAAAACACAGCCAAAATAATCACTAAGAGGAAAACTGCACACAGGGCAATGCCAATTAGGATTTCCCGCAAGCCAATCGAAGACCAAAAGCCAGTTTCTAGAATAAAGAAAAAGATCCACTTACTTCTTTGTCCGAGAATATTCTCTAGTCTACAAACCTTGTAATTATGCTCATTACTCCGACTAGTACTATTTATAATAATAATAATCCTTGCATTTGATATAGCGGCTTATCACGTCGTTGAGACGTCTCACAGAGTATACTGTAAAGTGACTTGACTGAATTTTATGGGCAAAACCCGACAGCGAAGCACGCACAGCAGTGTCCCACAAACAGTCATGGATTGAGTGATCAAATTATTATTATTATTTTTATTTATCTATTTTTGAAGAGATTATTAGTCTCGGAAAATGATCCGCTAATCAACTAAAAACCGGGTTCCTACTTACTGCTTGGTAAAAAGAGGCATCTGGAGTACGGAAACTTGTCTAAGGTTTTGCCCTGCCTGGGAATCGAATCAAGGTCCTCTTGTTTGAGAGATGAGTTCTCTAACCAATACGCTATAGGACTCCACATTTTAAAAGCAAAATTTGTCACTTAAAGAACATCAATATTTATGGGGGGAAAAATGTTTTTGGCCAAAGGAGGAGTGCTTTGTAAATGGTATGTGCCTGAATGGTTGATTTGAATTGTAAAATTGCAAAGTAACAGGTGAAACTGATTACCTTATGGTGTTAACAATATTTCCTGCGACAGTTTATCTATTTTATGATAGAATCATAATTTGATCTCACATATGAAATAGTTTTGCACGTACCTGATTCAACTGCATCAATGCAAACCAGGCCAGGTCCAGCAGTAGCCTCTTCATATCCTTTACTACACTGGCAGAAATAGGAGCCAATGGTATTAAGGCACCTTGATTCCATTCCACATACTCGTGCACTAGATTTACATTCATCCACATCTGTAAGAGTAAAAGCACTAAAAGATCTCCAAATCCCAATAAATCTTCAAATTATTTCCCATGAATGTTTGTCAATGACTTGTAAAGCCTGCATCAATTTAACGAATGAGGCAGCCTTTGCAAATCGGTATTTATGGTGGATCAGAAACACAGTACTGGTAGATTGGCATTGTAATGGTTTTAGATCTTTTAAGGTTATCTCAATCTTGAGCAATACGACTATTTGGTAAGTCACACTGAGCATTAGAGTTAGTACTTCTCTTAACAAGTGGCAAGTAAGCAGGATTATTTACACAATGGTGGGGGGGTTGTAGTCAGAACATATATAGTCACAATTCACCACTAAAGCTGTAAATGTGAGTTAATGCATGTACGGTTGTTTCTGTACTGCTCGTCTATAGATTCTATCTCACGGCACCAGATTTGAGTACTGAAGAAACACATCTATAAGGACACAGAATAATAACACAGAATCATTGTCCCCATCACTGCCCTGACATCAGATAACTTTGCACAAACTATGGATAAAACATGGGACTTTCCTGGTCTGTAACTCAGTACCACAGTAGTTTATGAATTTCCTGGTTAGTTTTCAGTGGAGCAAATACACAATCACGTGACAATAATAAAACTTACATTTGGTATTGCATCTTTTATGTCAGAGGTATGTCCTAAAGCACTTCATAGAATATACCGTAAAGTGGAGAGGATTTTGGTTCTGTGAGTGAATGCGACAGCAATGTACCGTAAGCAGCCATACAATTTTATTTTGAGGATTGTTGGCCATTGGTAAACTGCTTTCTCTTTTCAAATAGTTCCTTGGGATATTTTACATCCAACTAAACAAGCAGATGGGACCTCAGTTTAACGTCTCATCTGAAGAATTATGCACAAGAACTATTGAGGGTCTAAAATTTAATTTAAGCTTAATGTAGTCAGGTCGTCCATGCTACTATTCAATGAAAATTTGCATTTATTATAGCGCCCTTCACACAGGATATTGTCCTGAAGTGCTGAAAGCAGTATTGGCTACTTTTAATATATAATCAACAAAACAAGTTGTTGTAAACGCACAAAACAAATGCATTTCACTTACCCTCTACTGAAATGGAAGTCAAATAGACATTTCCATTCCTTAGATTAGCCACAGACTTATTCAACAACTCATTCATAGAAGTCTGTAAAGAGTTGTAGATAACGTCTCCATCCAGATTGAAATGCAGTTGGTAAGTGAAGAGGAGCCCTCGAACGGACGTTCTGCAACAAGGAAGACACGATTGCAATAAATACACATTTTACCTTAATTCTTCAAATACTCTCGTCCCCCCAAGTTTATCATTACACAATTACCATACACAATTACTTGACAACAATAAGAACAGTGTTGACCTTTTATGTCAGGAGGATGTCCTAAAGCACTTCATAGGATATACTGTTTTGTAGGGTAACACAATTACCAGACCTTGGACACTTTAGACTCGCTCTCTGCCTCTGGGTTCACAGGTATTTAAAAGCTTTTATTGTTAAAATGTTGCTTCTATTTATTCAAGTCAAATTTCATAACCACAGGAAATAAATAGAACATTTGTACCTGCAGGAGCCTGATCTGATCCAGTGATTGGGATCCCGCTCCCAAGAAAAATACAGCCACAAGGCGGCCCATTTGGGTGAATTCACATCACTAAGATATTAATAATAATCCTTGCATTTGATATAGCACTTTTCATATCTTCTAGATGTCTCAAAGAACTTCACAGAATATACTGTAAAGTGTATATTTGTGGGCAAAACGCAGCAGCCACTTGCGCACATCAGTGTCCCACAAACCGTTGTGGATTGAAGTGACCAAATTATTATTGTTTTTTTTCTTGAGGGATTATTATCAGGCGTGTGGAGTAAGGAAACTTACCCAAGGTTTTGCCCTGCTGGGAATTGAACCCAGGTCTCTGGCTTGTCAGGCGAGTGCTCTAACCACCGAGCTACAGGAATTAATACATGAGCTCAAATGCGTTTACATACACCAGGCCCTCAAAAGTATATCGTTCTTTGTACTAATTTCCCAAGTTACGATGTACGTCTCTATTGCCCCCCCACCCCCTCTCGTTTATAGCTAACAATGGGCAGCAACTCAGCTCAGAGTATGGAACTATGCCAGTATTTAAGCTGTCTGAGATGCTAACCCTACTTGAGGGGTGCTGTATAAATGCAAGTTGTTGTTTTTAAATGGGAGGTGTGTGGGGGTGCTTTATTTGGGAGAGGAGAGAACAAGTTTTACCTAAACTTTGAAAGTTGAAACTCTTTAAAATATATATTTTGGTACATTGGATCCAGTGGTCTAGAAATCTATTGGGGAAATTAGTTTGCGTCTCTGTCATCTGACCTGGGGTAGTCCAAACACAAGGATTATTGTTATGATATTTCATTACCTTTTAACGTTACTAAGATACATTTCTCTAATTGGAGGAGAAAATGATGATAGGTTTTCCATTATCTAGGTGGAGGAGAGAAAAAATATGTTTAGAACAGCAACTGTGTGAATGAAATCATTAGCAAGCAACATTTATTTTTTTTAAAATGTCAAATTTCACTTACGGAGATGAAGAAAGAATTCAACTCTTACCAAAGTCTGGACAGCATTTAAAACCTTTTTTTCCAGCTCGTGAAGGTTCTTGTAAACAACACCATCAAGCTCCACACCAGCCGATACCTCAAACAAATTGCCTGTATTCAAAATATTGTATATATGTTTTTTATATATAAATACATATATTTTGTTTTCATTTCAAACACAGTTTTAAAAACATTCTGAACTCCTGGAGTAAGATTCTAAAACAAAACGAATAAGAGGAGCCCAGATAATAAGTTCAGTCCTCGCAGTAATTTTTACTATGAGCTGACAAACATATTGATCAGTTGAATACTTAATGATCACTGCAGCGCTTCACCAGATCAATGTAGATGATGGCAGTCCTCCAGCCCATCTGATCTCATCCCTCATGTTAACCATTTCTCATGGCTACGAACTGAATGTTCGCTCCTTCACAGAATGTCAACCAAACACATAGACGTTTGAGTATTCTTACCTCCAATCCTCGGTTTGTGTGGATCAGATATTGTGGGAGTAGCACCTGAATCTGTTGATAGAAGATTTTCTAACTTCAACCGATTGACAACAGTGCAAAACATAAACAAATCAGAGTAAAGTCACCATGTGTCCACAAAACACTTTAGTGAAATCCTGTGAAGCACTTTTGAGACATCCTCCCAGTGTCAAAGACACTGCATCGAAAGCAAGGATTATGATCACAGCTCTCAGAGACATTATCCTGTGTGAAGGGCACTAAATCAATTAAAGTTTTTTTTAATATTACAAGGTAGTAATCTCAAGAAATTCAGAAGCAGCCTTTGAGATCAAAAGGGAGCATCCTTAAAGGTGAGGTTTTGATATTGGTGATTTTTCCCACGTCATAACCAATTATTTGTAAATTACATATTGCAAATTGGACAAGAGAAATGGGTGGGAGATCCTTTCACACTCCTTTTGTTGGAGTTCTGTAGCTTAGTGGTTAGAGCGCTTGCCTCGCAACCGAGTGGACTTGGGTTTGATTCCCGGCATGGCTAAACCTTGGTCAAGTTTCCTTACTCCACATGCCTCTATTTACCTACCAGTAAATAGGAACCCGGTTGTTAGTCGATTGTCAGATCGCTTTTCCAGGGGTAATATTACGTCCCCCAAAAAATTATAAAAATAATAATGTCACTTAATCCATGACTGTTTGCGGGACACTGCTATGAGTAATTGGCTATCGCGTTTCGCCCACAAAACATAGTCAATTCACTTCACAGTATATTCTATGAAGCACTTTGAGACAACTAGAAGACGTGATAAGACACAATATGAAATTCAAGGATTATTATATTATAACAGATTATTGCAAACCCTTGGAGGACACATTTATACTTCCCGTCTATAGCATCATACCCACAGTTACCATCCTCCAAGTTAATTTCCCCAGCAAAACAGAAAAAAAATAAAAACATGAGAAGGCCATTCAGCCCACCAAGCTTGTACTACCAGCTTATTAGATGTTTTAATTCAAATGTCCTACCCATAACCATTTTGTTTATCAGCTAAACCCTAGAAATACTGTACTCACCAATATCAACCTCATCCAAAGTGGTCCATATGCGAGTCAGTGAAACGGAGGATGGCAGAATGGAAAGTTGGAAGCCAAGAAACTGCTCTGTATTAATTGTGTCTAATGCAGCACTAAGCAATGGAGCAGGAGGACTTGTGGGTGACCACCTACTCTCTTGTGTTCCTTTTTGCCATTCTACCTCAGAACTCCAGACCTCAGCCGTGGGCACCCCAGGAGAACCGGCCACAGGCCCGTGTCCATGCTTTGGTGCCACAGGTTGAAAGCTTCTTACATTCATTTGGTAAGTGGGAGTCTGAATAAAATACTCTGACTCATACAATTTGGGGCGTTCGTGTTCCTGCCCCAGGTTGCTGTACCATGAAGAGTGTAACTGCGATGTGGACGTTCGATCAAGCTTCTCTGAATGGGTCCATTCAAATTGACCCTCTATTCCATAGGTGGTCGTTTTCAACGAACCCTCGAGCTCCAGAGTTGTACAAGGTCTAGCTTTTCTCCGTGTTTGCCGATACGTTTCAGAGCTTGCTGGCCACAGCTTCTGAATACCATTCAAAGATTCGGAATCTCGGAGCGGAGCTTCTCCATCTACTCTGCGAGTTGCAGCCAAGGCGGAACTCTTTGCTCCGACAAAGGAAGATGATCAGTCTGCATTTTCCTCCACACATCACCAGGTCCGAGCGATTTTGATGGTTCGATCCAGGTTTGATCAAAACTCTCCGAATGCACAGATTGCCCACCATCTTCCATCTGGTCAGATTCGAAAGGCGGAGTCACCCCAACGACGAGATCTGCAACGACAAGAGATACCTGGAGATCAATCGTGATCAAAGCCTAGCCGCAGAACTAGAATACAAACTAACTATATAAACTAATCCTGCTCTCACGTCATCTGTATAAAAGTCTTTGACAGAGCCAACGTGAGTGGGTGTTGGGTTTATTTCCACCTGCAACACATACTTTGGAGTTTCTGAAGTCCAAGGTGCTTTTCTTTCTGCTGGTTTGGAGGTTCAAGAAAAGAATGCAGTGTTTCAAAAAAAAAAAAAAAGCACAGCACTAGCTCTTTCCCACACCTGGGACATTTTGCAATGTTTACGATCTTTGGAACACCTGACACATGTGGAAACCCATCACCATGCTTAAGAGTATTCAAACCAAACTGAGCTCTCGTTCAACTGGAAGCAGTTGGCCATTCTTGGGCATGTATCGTTGATGTGTGAAGCACGTCTCTATGGAAGCTAGGCTGAAAAACTGGATTCCCCAAGGTACAGAAGTACCCCATACATTCAGACAGAGGTATTTCACAGGAATCACTGAGCTGTTCCTGCAAACTGTATTTGTAACTACTTCTTGGGGGGCTCAACTGGGTGTCCATCATTTGCTATTTCCCAGAAAGCTGCAGAAGGTCTGATGGCAGAAGTATCAATGTCCACAACTCTGTAAATTGCTGTTTCAACAACATACAATGTTTTTAAGGGGATGAAGCCCTCTGCCCATTCTTTAAAAACCATTCCAATATTTAGCTCTGAGCTACGTCTGGGCATAGTGGCTTCTCAAGAAAGGGGTTTATTGTGTGACAGTGGCAGCGAACAGACTCACTTACTGTTTCAATCCCAGAATTGAAAGCATTGAGAACGGTAATTTGAGGAATTCAATGACTTTAAAAAAAAGCGTCACTTCTTGTGCGCTTTTAAGTAATCTGTTTGTACAAGAACTGGAGATTGTCCACCTGTAGTGTTACATATCTGATTTCTTCCGTCCAAGGATACATGTTCTGATAAAGCCCCATCTGCAGAGTCCTGAAAGGGTTTTGTTTCATCACGCTCGCACTAAAAGGCTTCCTGTACATCCCTAGCCCCCCTCCACCATCGGCAGCTGTGCCTTCAACTACTATTCCCCAAAACTATAGAACTCTCATCCTTAATCTTTCCTCCTTGCCTCCTCTTGCCCCTTCTACAGATCACACCTGAAGACCTTCCTCTTCAACCGTGCCTCCCTCCTCTCCCTGGCTCAGAGTCGAGCTCCGCCACTATTAAGTGCTCTGAGACACCAACCCATGTGAAAGGTGCTATATAAATGTAAATAGTTGTACAATAATGTTGTGAATCGAGGGATGAACAAGCTCCTCAGAAGTTACCCACATATATATTGCATATTTCAGAAGGTGATTAAAATAATTATCAGTGCAAGTTAAAAATATTCTCTGTACAAGGAAGACAAAAGTTTGTATTGATAAAGTGCTGGAAGTCAAATTGAGACTCAAAGGAAAAAATGCAGCACTTCTATAAGAAACATACATTTATTTTTCATGTTTGCATTTTGAACGGACAAATTACAAGAATGGCCACTTAACTTAGGCACATATCGCAACTTTAGATGAGGAGCGTTATACAGCTAAGCTTTACCATCTGCATTAATTTGATGCAAAAGGGTGATACTTCGTTCAAAAAAACAGACTTGGATTTTGAGGGTTGAACCAATGAAGCTAAACCAGCTGATGAAAACTCTCAACCGCATTAAGAGCTTTGCACATTTTTTTCGAAGTAAGAGGCAGATTTGCCTAATGCAAAACAATTACACCAAAAGGCAGATGGAAAAATCCTCAATACGTCAAACCAAGAGGAAGTTAATGAATCGACACTCCTACTCCCTTTGTCACGTTCATCCTTGCATCTTTAAGTAGCTGAAATTCTGCAAAGCGCACAAGAGTTTCAGTTGCCTTCATGGCGTGCCAAGATTAATGGTCCTTTCCATCGCATTTCTTGTGGAGGGGGAAATGGAGGCCGCCTCTGGAATAGTTGAAGTCTCTTTAACGACCGATCTGAACTCAAAGT